AGAAACCACCCTCTTAGATTGTGGAGTACACTAGGCTGTCCTCATGAACAGCATCCTGAACTTTGGTTTCTGAAATAACATGTTCTAAAAACATCATCTCTTCAAATCTATTTTTGTGCATTTATAAAGATGACTTGAGTAACACATAAAAACAGGTCCAGGAAACAGTGACGAGTCAGAGCCCAGTGGACTATGACAGCACTGAGGTTGCCACATGCTGTAACTCCTTTCAAGAGAGTGACAAATGTTGTTAAAAATCACCGATGTAAACAGACACCGAAGCTTCACAGTCCACTAGCAGGAGGATAATAGGGCAATAAGCTCCAGATAAATCCCAGGCTGGCTAATTTTCAGTCTACACATTTTCTTCAGTTTTCAGATACTGCTGCTTTACTGAAATATGCCATCTGGGATGTTCAATAACTGTCTTCTAAAAACTGGGTAACTCAAGGGACTCAGAAGTGAACATTTGGCTCCATGCACGATGGCAAGTTTTATTCTTACAAAGGGAAAAAGAAACACTGCAGCAAGGGAGTCAGAAAAATGTTCTGTGAAATAAAATCAAAACCAAAATCCAAAAATAGCTTGTCCTACATAGCTAGGAGCCTGAAATGATCCTGGAATTAACTTTACTCATGTAAGAAAGACAAAAGCCCCCAAAGTTTCAGAAGAAATCACAGGTGATCAGCTAGGCAGCACATAAACAGAAGTTTTGATAAAAAAACACTGCAATGTTTTGAGGATACATCTATTTCTGTCATCTTGGAGCTGGCTGTACAAATCTTGCAGTCACTGGTCAGGTCTGGCACAGAGAATGTTCAGCAGGTCTGTCCACTCCTCTCTCATTCCATTTACCAGGACACCAATAAACACTGCTATAGAAACCCTCAATGGAGATGCTCCTACTGTGTATCATTATTCACTAAACCTTGAAAATCTCTATAAAAGAATGTCTGGGTCAGTTTCAGGGTAAGTCTGTGGAGCAGAGACTCCAGTCTCTTCACTATGCAAATAAGCAACATGTTAATTATACTCATTTCCCAGTTAGTTGAGTTTTGGCAAATGACAGAGACCAGATTAAACTGGTTCTTTCCATTCCCATAAATTCACACAGAACTCCACCTTTACTCTCTGAGAAACTACCTGAATTCATTTGAAAGATGAAATTATAGTTTAAAGTTGTTGAATTTGATGACTTCGAGGCACAAATTGTTTCCCCTGCTAGCTTATTTGTTCAAATTATGTTCATATTATGTTCATAGGGGTAGCAATAAAAATATACTTAACATTTGAAGCTATGTGCAAGAACATTCAGTCAAGGTCCTAATAACCCACTAAATAACACATTAATATGCTGTTACCACAACAGGAAGCCACAGTAGTGGCACAGGGGGCTACAGATACAGAGCTCCCTAGGGCAACTTCTGGTCATGTCTTTATCACCATTACTGAGCACTGAACTGTTTGCCATTGCTTTAATTATTATTACCTCCTTTTATGCTATTTGTAGCTTCCCTCGCTTGTTGATAAGCTGTCACAATGCAGTGGTGCATGATAACTCTGAGAAAAAGCTCATTTCCATGATGTGATTATGTGCTACAACTGAGTCTGACACCCACTCTCATTTCAAGGCCTCTAAGACAACACAATTGCTGTTTTTATCTGGGAGGTTTTCCAGCCTTCTTGTCACCATTAATAGCAGGATAGTAATTGGCCAGTTTTACTGCTTTCTTCTGTGTTGTTTTAAGGGATTAGTCATCGTGGCATCAAATCCTAATGCTTAAAAATTGAAAGAAAAAAGGTATTAGGTCATTCAGTCCATTTCCTCAGGGCCAATGCAAGACCGTTCCGTACAGTAAATTCCTGGCAATCTGTACAGTCAGGATATAAACAATCCCAGTGAAAGGCATCCCACCTTTTTCCTGGGAAGCCTGCTCCTCAGTTTAGCAGATGTCACTCTAAGGATGTTTTTCCTGATATTCAGTCTGTGTTTCTTTCCATTCCTCCTAGATACAACTCTTTGTTTTGCACTCATTCATTCCTTATTGCCATTACTTAATGACTAATTTATAGCCAATCAAAAGCTTAGCTTCAGCTGATCTTTAACAAACTCATCAGTGGCAGGAAACATTTACAGCAAACATCTACCTTCTTGCTTCCCCAAAAGATATTTTTTTAGTGTTTCTGTTGTGCTGTCATTTGTTGCCAATAAATAAGATGCACTGAAAGATGCTAGGTTTGGTATATGCATAGCCTCAGGAGAATGGACAAAATTCAGGATATTTGTTCAGCAAAATTTAATTTTAAAGTGTGGCTTAGAAAATGATGCAGGGTTGCAAGCAAGCTTAGTTGTGCAAAATGCCAGATGCACAGGAAGTGGAAAAAGCCCACACGCACTAATGTTAAAGGCTGATATCTTGATACGACAGATACCATTTCTGTAGAATCTTAGAAAAAAAAAGCAATAGCAAAACTGAAATTTTTCCTGAAGCAGAATACAAGTCACTTAAGTCAGTCAACAGGAATGGAAGTGAGAAGGGAAATTCAGGTGATTTAGTAGTGAAAAAACAAGAAAGCAGAATTGCGCTTTCTAGGACTGTTCCTGTTCTTATGAAACATATTTGCTGATATTTGCAAGTTTAATTCTTCTAAATATAATTTTGCATGTGTGCGTACTAATGGCCAAGTCCAACCTACAATCCTATTCTGCTGATATTGAATTGTTCTGTATTTTGTCTAAAAACAATTAACATGCTTCTGAATGAAGCAGGAACAGTGTGGTATTTGTCACACCAGTACTAGTATAAGACTGTACACTTGAAAAAGGCCTCTAAGTACAAATACCAACAACAGACTGTAGCCTAATTCCTTCAGTGGATTTAAGATGAAAGTCTCCCATCATGTTACATAACAAAGAGAGGGGTGTGTGTGTGTGTGTGTGTATACACACACATATATATACACACACACACACAGGGCTTTGCAGCTTGTGAAGTCCCTATATACATATAAATGGTTGCAAAAAGAACAAAATCACCAGTCCTTCATTTCTGCAAGAATAGCACTGCTGTTACCCTTGTTGTTAAAGAAAAATAAGAACAAGAAAACCTACAAGGCTAGCATATTCAAAGAGCCAAACAGATGTACTTTTTGAGGAAAAAAAATCAAAACCAACCAAACAAAACAACAAACAAACCAACCACACTCTACTTAAGTTTAACTGCTTATCCTTATTAATCCTATGTTCCTTGGGTTCCTCTCTGATAACTCTGCACCTTGTGAAGCTTCAGTTTGGAGTCATGAACCCTTGGTACAATAGAAAACATACTACAGTCAATTTAAACATACTACACACTACAGTCTTTGTAGTGAAAGAAGAAATTTAAAGTAAGACCCATGTTGCTTTAGACAATGTACACATGTGGGTGATATTGGCTGAAGACCAGCAGGAAACAGACTGCAAAGCATACAATTTACAACAATGGTTAGGAAATAAAAGGTGTGGTATAAGATACAGCACAAATGCCTGAATTTACAATCAGGTTGTTAAAATGTATGAAGGTCATATATTTATCATATCTTCAAATTACGCAGACAAAACCTTCATCTGTTTTATAATATATTAATATCAAGAGGAAAAAGCAACACACATACAATTCAGCAATATCATTGACTGTCAAAATTTTGCAAAGAGAAGAGACAAAATCCTTCTCAAATGTCATATAGACAGTTGTATGATATAACATAGCCAGAAAGCACCAGCATTTTTAGAATTAACTTTAGCAGAATATAACAAGTCCTACCGTAGAGAGGAAATACAACATCACCTTAATGCGTAACAAGTTCTCTGTCTATATATATTTATACATGAGAGGAGGAAAAGCCATTAGAAGGAATGCATTCTATTTTTCACATATTTCATGTACAACCTGTTGTTCTTGGAACTGTTAAAGATACTAACACTTAGCTTAGGGCCCTGGAAAATTACTGGTGTTTGTGAAGCATCCTACAATTTCTGGACAAAGAACGCAACACAAATCTGTAATAATTCTGTGTAGATCAAAATCAGCACATATAAGTACACACCTGGAACTTGTTTAGATTCTCTCATTTCTTTTATATCTTTAATATAGAGTCTTGCAAATGCAGAAAATACAGGATCCAATCCCCAGTGCAGAGATGGTGTCTCTTCCTCATACATCTTAGACCCAGACTGCATTCAAAACCTATGAATACAGAAGAACTTGTCATTATTTTCTACACAGGTAAAATGCTGTTCACTTATGTTCCAACTGAATGGAAAAATAGTGTGGGATTTTACACATAATAACACAGCAGAGCTCATGAAGAGACACAGGAACTTATCTAATTCAGTGCTACCATTGTGTCACCACATTAAATATTCAAAATATCAATATGGATTATTTACTCAAAGTACTGAGACTCAACAGCAACAGCATTTTGCACAGCTCCTTCAAATGAAATAGAACTTCACAGATTTCTCCTCTATATACACACAAACAGAAAACCAATTATAACACTACTTTAAATGAGCAGGCTCCCCCCATCATTCTCTTCTTCCATATGACATTCTCCTCATTGTTCATAATGTGCTTTATTGCAGTGGTCAGGGGAGGTTTATTTTCTATAAAATAAAAGTAACTAGACCTTCTTTATTTTGAGTGTCTTCAATAACTTTCTAACCGGTACTTTTACCTCTTGAGATTTCCCAGTTTAATGCCTGCTATCTACTGCCATCACCAGAGCCAATTCTCTGCTTATCACAGAGTTGATGTAGGAAAAAAATGGCACCCAATTCAGGAAGGAACCTTTTAGAAATTTGGAAGCTGAATATAATTTTTATTAGCTTCTCCCATATGGATAGCTAAATTGTTCCTATAAAGCTTTCCAGGTCACCCTCAAACGAGTGTCAGTCACTTAGATCTGCAGGGCAAAGGTGGTAAGTGGAAAGATATTGAAAGGTGTGTAATAGGGCTGAGATTTGGCAGCGACAGTCTCCTGAGAGGGAGCAGGCCCATGCTGTGGGTTGTTAGTGATCTCTGTAATCTGCAGGAGACACATCTAGCAGATGCAGAGGCAACATGCCATGAACATCATGATAGCATCTTGCCTTGAGAAAAAGCAAAGCTTGGATTCCACATTATTTCTGTTTTCACACTTTAATTTTGGGGCAGAAAAGCAAAGCGTAGCACAACATGCTAGAGCGTTGCTGACATTGATGCTGCACTGTGAAGAGAACTGCAGATGACAATTATATCAATTTCCAATCTTTAACCATTTGTTGTTTCAAAAAATACATTAGTGATACTTTGACATTCCTTAGACTAGTCAATTGTTTTGTGAAGTGCTGGAAGTATTTGATTGAGTCAGTTCCACCAGTCACCTCACCTTTGAGTAACAAACAATACAGTTTTATTTACACCTGTGCTTGTGGGTCTCTCCCCCTGCTACAGGCAGCTTCTCCCAACCTATTCCTTTTGCACACACCACATCTACTCAAAAACATCTCATCATCCTCTTATCACTCAAGCCTCCCCATGGTACACACTTTTTCTTCTGCTGAATTGCAGACACTGCTCTGTAAAAATTTATAAACTAAGCTGTTAACTGTTACAACCTTAATAATGCCAAGCTGCTATTCTTCCATATGGCAGTTCTCTGGTTGCTTTCTATAGTCTGTATCAAATTTAGACCATAAACTTCCCCAGGCAAACATATGATTTGAACCTGCATTTTACTTAGCATGCTCATTTTTGTAACAAAATTAGTATTTCTCATGCCCCTCTTTTTGCTTGCAGTCTCTAGTACAAAGCTGCCTGAAGGGTGTCCATGCTACTGTGCTTTAATAGCTTCAATTAAAAAAACAATCATAAAAAAATAAATTTAGCCCAACAAAAGGTCATTGGGAATGAGAGGAGTTCACACATCAATCAATAAACATGCAAACTATAGCAAATCAAGGTTAACACATATAAAGAGAAGCCCTACTGGTCAGCATCATTCTGCCTCCTGCCTGCAAACAGGTACTTTAAGATGCAGTTTTGTCCTTAATGCTGCTACCGTCCCCCAACTATTTACTTCAGTAGCACTTCTCCCCTGACAAGAAACATGGATAAAATTACAATGTTGGTTCTCTAAGATAATATTTTATACAAAGTAACATTTCTTTCTGCACCATGCCCTGCAACTTCCTCTGCATGGTTACCACATCTGCCATGGCTTAGCACCTGGTTTTGCAGACTGAGCTAACAAGATAAAAGGAGAGACCAGGGTAACAAGCCTAACTTTTTGTATTTCGCATGAACAGCCATTCATTGGAGTGAAATGCAGAAGTCATCCCTGCACATGTGCACGTCTGAGGGGAAATCAATGAAGCCGTACCACTACAGACTAAAAATATCTGCATTTTGGTATTTCAGTAAACAGTTGTCAAGACTGAAATGCCCAAATGTTAACAAAACACTAACCAGAAGTCCAGACAACACTTCTAGCTTAAATGAAGCATCTGCCCAGGTCTTCTACTGCTTCCTTGTCCAGAATTGAGATGGATTTCTGCAGCAAAAGTTCTATTTCAGAAACTACTGGGAGCTAAATCTTAAATTCTGGAGCCTGATTTTAGCTCCCAGGCCTTGTTACAGCTCTTCACGGAACAAATTGACACCCATTACTTCTACCTCCATATACAGAATCACTTTGGCTGATTCAAGTCTTCTACAGACATAATAAATTTAATGTTACAGATCTGGCAAAGATTCCTTGATAAGAAGTAAATCAGGTCCCAAGCATTGTGAAGGAGCACCACAAGACTTCTTTAAGTTCACAGAACAAATCTGCTGAAGTAACGAGTTGCAAACACTCCATTCACAACAGACTGGGACAGCAAAATCATACTCCAGCCACTTTCAGCAGTCTCTTAACAAGTACATGAGAAGCATTTTGCCCCTTCCCTCTTCCTGGTCTCAACAGTCCTCCCAGCCCCTGCCATCACCCAAAACCAAGCCCATTTCCTTTCTTCCCTCCCAAGTGGCCACTTGGTAGCTATATTTGAGCAGTGACTATTTAAAGTCAAAAGCTTGTGGCCTGCTGGGAGCAAAAGATATTTACTGCCTCCTGTGCTGCTTGCCTCCACACACCAGTCCATTTTTCTTGTGGTGCTAACAGCAGTTGTCTTTTTGCTCCTATATCAAAAGAAGATGTCACGTCAGAGAAGCAGCACTTTCCAAAGTATGCATTTTTCAGTCAGTTTGCAAGCTTGTTTCAGGCAGATGGATAGTATCAGAAAACACAATTCTTACACAGCAGATAAAATTCTTCCTGTCAATTTCTCTTCTGCTATATAATAGTATCTTCCCATAATTTTTTTTTTTAAGGTTGGCACAGGAAGCCTTTCCTTCCTAGGCAGAACATCCCAGGAGTTAATCAGTCATCCTGGCAAAAGTGGAACTTTCCATGATGCTGGAAGTATTTTCAACTGGTACCATTGGTGATAGGCTATCAGCAAGGAAGATAACAGCTACTCTGTACAATGAAGATCCAAGGAGCAAATAGCAGGCATTGTGGAGATGCACAGCATTATAATCAGTGAGAACACAGATAGCTAACAACGGACAATTCTGAACAGATACTATATGTACAAATGTTTAAGGATTAAACTGGCTTTTGCTGAAAGATGATGATAAGGCTTAGCAAAACAAACAATACAGAGTACTAGCAAAAACGGTCATAATCCCTTTCTGCATTTTGTTTTAAATGCAGTGTAATGACTTAATGGTTGCTGTAGTGCAAGGAATTCCATCCTGCTACAGAAAAAAAAAAGGCAAGAAAAGCATCTCATCCACAAGTTTATTAGATGTAAAAAATCTGTATTCTATCTCTAGCTCTCTATAAAACAACTCCAAATAAAGGCTATAAAGACATAATCAAAACTAAATAGAATTACATTCTGCTATTTGAACCACTTATCGGGAAAACAACTCTGTTTCAAAGACAAAAATCTAAAGTTTACATGGTAGTTATCTAAATATAAATAAACAAGAAGCCTCAATCTGAGATCACTGTAGACACTAATCTATTAAAATGAGGCTGTCTCTTTCACCTGCTGCTATCAATGTTAGCTTTCCTGACTGTAGTGAGAATTAAGCCAAGCCCATAATCCTCAGAGTTATCTTGGGAGCACATCAAGGTATTACCTTAAAAGGGAAAGAAGGGAAACCTAGGAAAATTGGCAGCCCTAACAATGCCACCACCCAAAACCAAGCCCATTTTCTTTCTTCCCTCAAAAGCAGCCTACCCAGTACCCTTGTTAGAATAGCTGATATATTTCTTGGCTCTTATTTCTGTGTTCACCATGTACCTTTTTGCAAAAATGGTAAATTTTTAAGAATTGTTTTTCTTCCAACCCCAATGAAATGAAAATCTCAAAGAAGAGTACCTGTTTTAATGTTTCTTGTTGTCTTTTCTCCAGATGTGATTAACGACTAAAGCTCTCACAGAAAATTGCCTTAGTTTGAGATTAATAATTTGGAGCCATAGAAAAGGCATCTTGCCAGCAGCTGTCTGCAACTACCCCACAACAGCTGACAGACAGAAGGTTCTCTCTCAAGGTAGCTGTGAATCAGAAGCAGAGAATATTTACCCACAAATACAGGCAGTTTAAATATCCTTCCAGGTATTCACTCTGCTCTTAAGACTGCCACTACTCTACTAGCACTGATGGTTTACCCAGGAAGCAGCTCGGAAGGTGTTAGAGTTGACAACCTAGTGCATTAAAACATCTTAAAGTCACTGTTAGTTTACTTGAGTAACTTGACTACAAACTGTGGCTGTTAAAAGAATTTTTTCCTGGGTCAGCAAACTTGTGGGAAGAGGAGCAGTCAACACTGGAGTTTTGTAACAACCTCAATATCTGAACTGAACTCATCTGTGTTTGAGTTAACACCCTATGTGACAAGTAAATATTACTCAATTCTTTATGATCAGCAGAAGCAATGCCAGCATGATACAGGTAAATCCACTATGTTTCAAGAAAATGTTCTGAATTAACCAAGGCCACATGCAACATTTTAAATTAAAACTAAACAAACCTCATATCTTATTATGCAAGTAGATCTTAGTGAGCTAGAACATAAAGCCTTTGATAAATGATAATAAGGAGTAAGGATCCTAAAACTGAAACTCAAACTTATAAAAAATACATAA